CACTGCGACTTTCTCTGCGTGTTACGGCGCGCCCTTCCTCGCGCTGCACCCGATGGTTTACGCCGAAATGCTCGTAAACCCTAAACCCTAAACCCTAAACCCTAAGCCCTGAATCCTAAAGGAGTTCGGAGTGGGGGTGCGCAGCGCGCGCGCGCTGCGGGGCCGTTCGCGCGGGCGTGGGGTTTCGCGCGGGCGCGCGGGGGGTTCGGGGGGTTGCGGCGTTCTAGGGTTTAGGGTTTAGGGTTTAGGGTTTAGGGTTTAGGGTTTAGGGTTTGCGCGCAGGCGGAGAAGCTGGAGCAGCACAAGGTTGCTGCGTGGCTGGTGAACACCGGCTGGACTCGAGGCTCCTTCGGAAGTTCCGAAGGCAGCAGAATTGCGCTGAGACACACGAGGGCCATTGTGGACGCTATTCATGATGGCAGCCTCGCAAAGGCCGAGTACGAGGTAGGGTTTAGGGTTTAGGGTTTAGGGTTTGGGGTTTGGGGGTTGGGAGGTGGGAGGCAGGGAGGTGCGGGGAGGGTTTAGGGGTTGGGCTGGGGTTTGGGGGTTGGGCTAGGGTTTGGGGGTTGGACGAGGGTTTCGGGGTTGGGGTCAGGGTTTGGGGTTTGTGGCTAGGGAGTGGGGCAAGGGTTCAAGTTTTGCAGCTAGGGTTTAGGGTTTGTGGCTCGTGCCCAAAGTTCCCAGCTAGGGTTTAGGGTTTGTGGCGCGCGCCCAAGTTTCCAGCGAAGCGGTTGAGTTTGCTGCGAGGGTTTAGGGTGTAGATCAGGGTTTAGGGTTTAGGGTTTAGGGTTTGTTGTGCAGGAAATGCCGGTGTTTCGGCTGCGGGTTCCCCGGGAGGTTCGGGGGGTGCCCTCGGAGCTGCTGCTGCCGCAGCGAGCTTGGAAAGATAAAGAAGAATTAGAAAGACAAATAAATAAATTGGCAAATCTTTTTGTCGACAACTTCAAACAGTACGCAGAAAGAGCGCCTCCCGAGGTCCTCCGCGCGGGCCCGCTGCTCCCGGAGGCCCCCTAAACCCTAAACCCTTTTTTAGGGTTTAGGGTTTGGGGTTCGGGGCTTTTATCTATTTGGAAATGCAAATGAAATTATCTGCGCGCGTGCTTGCTGCATGCATTCGAGGTGTACGTACACCTGGAGGACTTGGAGAAACGCGTGGTGTTTGCTTCCAGAATAGACATTTCGCGTTTTATTTATTTTGCATTTGTGTAATATATTTAATTACTTATTATATGAAGTTCTGACAGATCCGAATGTTCATGTAATGTACATTGTATGTACACCTCATATACACTTCAATGCAGTGTATGTACACTGCGTTTTGCGCATTATATATAATACCATATTTTGCAAATGCCGCGCAAATTACACAAACTGCAATTACTGAATAAATGAATAAATGAGTGAAATGAATGAATTAAACGAATTAAATGAATTAAATGAGTTGCATTAATTGCAGAAATGTATTTATTGCACGCCTGCAGAAAGCGCGCGTTTCCGCGTTTCTGTGGAACTTTGAAGAGTACAAGTAAAGATATTATGGTAATGCATTATCCTGGGTTTCTTCTGCGTCATTTCCAATGCAAATAATGCTTTATTTTTAATTCTCCTCTTTGCATGCTTCCAAAATCTGCAAATGTTGTGACGAGAAGTCACGGCGTTCTTTGCTGCGCCGCCCTGGGGTGTACGTACAGCTCAGAGCGCGCGAACCAAGTCCAGTTTGTCACCCGCGATCTCTCCATTTATTATTTCTTCATTTATTATTATTGTTATTATATTTCTATTATTAATTGGTTCATTTGCTTTATTTCGCTCCAGTTTCTCAATTTTCTTTCTTTTGGCAACGGCGGCGACCATTTGGCTCTGTCGCCGCGCTTTTGATTATTTGCTGCTTCGACTTTGCTGCTGCTGCTGTTGCTTTTCCCTTCTTTAAAGTGTTTTATGGGCCCCTTTTGCTGCTGCTTTGCTTTGTTTATTGCTTTGCATGACTATTGTATATTTATCCCTTTGCATTACTCTTATTTTGCATCATTTATTATTTTCCATCATTTTCCACTTTCTTTATTTGCATTATCTTCTCCACAAACAAAACCGAGAAAAGCCGCGCATGCAATTCGGCGGACTCTTTCGTCCAAATTTTGCTCTTCGAATTCTTTTTAATTTCCCTTTTATTTGCTGCTTCTTTTCAGAAATAAAGATATTTTTAAACTAATTTATTGTTTTATTTTATTTTGATTTAATTCCACAGTTTAATTCTCCAAACAAAACTCACGAGGGTCTTTACTTTCGGCACTTTTCAGAATTCCCTTGTGGAAGAGCTAGGGTTTAGGGTTCAAACCCTAAACCCTAAAAAGGTGTTTAGCGCCCAGTCAGCAGCTGCAGGAGGGCCCCAACTCTTCTTCACCGCAGTTTGCTGCTGCCCACACTCTAGGGTTTAGGGTTTACGGGAATGAGTGCTGCTGCACTAACTGCTGCTGCTGCACTAACTGCTCCTGCTGTACTACCTGCTGCTGCTGCATTACCGTCTGCTGCTGCACTGCCTCCTGCTGCTGCATTACCTTCTGCTGCATTACATTCTGCTGCTGCATTGCCTGCTGCTGCTGCATTGGCCGCTGCTGCAGTAGCTACTGCTGCAAGAGCTGTTGCTTCTACATTAGCTGCTTGTGGTGCATTGCTGCTGCTGCTGCAGTAGCAGCTGCTGCTGCTGCTGCAAAAGTTGCAGCTTCTGCATTGGCTGATTGTGCTGCATTGCTGCTGCTACTGCTGCATTAGCCGCTTGTGGTGCATTGCTGCTGCTGCTGCAGTAGCTGCTGCTGCTGCAGTAGCAGCAACAGCAGCAGCTAGGGTTTGTGTATTTGTTTGCTAATAGAGCGGCACTGTGTGGGGCCGTGGCTCTACTGTTGTCATCTGAGGTGTACGCTGAGCTTTCTGAAAATGAATAAATTGAAAAGAAGATCAAACTCACAAATGAGTTATTTCCTTGCTGCTGCTGCTGCTGCTGCAGTTGCATCTGCTGCAGCTGCTGCAGTTGCATCTGCTGCAGCTGCTGTTGCTGCAGCTGCTGCTGGGTGAACATGGGCCTGAATACGGGTACCCACGGAGTGTACACCTGAGGACAATACCAAAATGAATTATTCATTTTATCATTATTATTATTATTTATTATTATTATTATTAATTATTAAAAGACTTTATAAATTTAAACAATTAAAAAAACGAAAAGTACCTGGCGAAAGGCGGGGCGGCTCCCGCTGACTGCTGCTGCCACTGGGGGAGCTGCTGCAGGGCTGACGGTGAACTCTTCGGTGACTTCGGGTTTTTCTTCTGCAGCAAATTAAAAGGAAAAATGAAATAAATAAAAGAAATAAAAGAAATAAAAGAAAACAATTAAACATTTCGCGCGTTGTCCGCGCTTACCGACGATTCTGCATGCGCAGACGCTGTCGCTCATCGGGGCCTGTTCAAGTTTTCAAGTTTTCAAGTTTTTGCAAAATCGCGAAAACAAGTACCAACAAAGTGCTCCCGACTTGCAAAAAGCTGGAAAGAAACAAAGAATTGAATTTCTTTTCTTTTTTCCGGTAAAAACCCCCGAAATCCCTTTCAAGGAGGGGGTGCCAGGGGGCGCGCGTGGGGGGAATTGGCGGGGAAGCTGAACATGAACGAAGCAGAAAAGTGAGAAATAAAAAAGAAAACAAGATTAACATGGCTCGAGTTGAACGTTTGCATCGAAAATCGCAATAAGAAGTTTAAATTGAAATAAAGAAACGAAAGAAATGCAAAAGTGACGAAACAGCAGACGCGCCGTTGTCAGCTTTCTCAGAGCTGCCTATACACCCGAACGATGAACTGGGAAAGTTCGCATTTTCGAACTTTTGAAGAACACAGATGATTTATTTCACAAAATAAAACTAATTTTCTGGCTATTTTGCCAAAATTGCGACAAAAGGGTAAGGAAAGTAAAGAAGTTCCTCCTGGTGTTACTCTGGAGTAAAGTGCCACGGAGCTTAGTCTTGCTGGCCATTCTCTAGCCCTCCTCACACTTATTTTTTAATATCAAATTCAAAAGGATAAAAACGTTAACGAAGGCATAATCATTTTTAATATCAAATTAAAAAAGATAAAAATATTAACGAAGACAAAAGCCCAACGATGAAATCGCAAACAGAGCAGTCATCGGTACTACTGCTGCTCGTGTGCCGCAGCAGAAATAAAAGGCATAAAAAACTCGATTAAATGCATAAAGTTGACACATATTCGTAAATTCATTCAAATAAGCGCAGTTAATTCCTAAATTCATTTAAATAAATGCATTTTCGCCAAGTTTAGAGCCACTACCTTCGGTGGGAAAGAAACGGAAACAGCGCTGGCGGTTTCTGGCGAGCTGAGGTGTACAAACAGCCCAGAATTAACAACTGAATGACTCAAAAATTGTTTTTTTAATTCATTTTTTTTATTTTCCTTTTTTTGCATTTATTTTTGCTGCTCAGCTGCTGCTGCTGTTGACTGGGGGGCCCCCTTTGCATCAGGGGGCCCCCCTGGCATTCAAGAATTGAAGTTTGGAGTTACTTCTTCTTTTGCGGATTTGTTTTATTTTTATTTAAAGTAAAATGAAAACTTCTTTTTATTGTTTAGAGTTTGGAGCTGAAGGCGGGGGTTTGGCTGTCGGCAGAGGGCTCTTTGTGTTTCTCGCCAAACCCTAAACCCTAAACCCTAAACCCTTCGCACAACCCTGGAAGACCCAGGGTGCGGGGCCTTGAAAGAAGCGTCTTCTCTTCTTTATTGGATCTAAAAGGGTTTTGAATTATCTTTTTCTTTTTTAATTTCAAATACTCCCTCAATAGCTTTTCTTTGCATGGGGGCCCCCCGGGGGCCCCCGTACCCTCTCAGCCCGCGGCCAAAACCCTTAACTATGGAGCGCCTTCGGGGGCATCTCATAGAAGGCACAAACCCTCCTTTCCTTGTTGACTTATTTAGAAACTTGCCCAAAAGAAATAAACCCAAAAGGGGGGCCCCCCGGCCTCGGGGGGCCCCCAGACCCTGGGGGGCCCCCCCAGCCACCGGGGCTCCCAGTACCCAGGGGCCCCTCACTCACGGCCTCCTCAGCCCCAACGGGGGGCCCCTACCTACAGGGGCCCCCAACTCCCAGGGCCCCCCCTTAGGGGGGCCCCCCCCTGAGGGGGCCCCCAGCCCCGAGGGGCCCCCGGGGCCCCCGGGGCCCCGGGGGGCCCCCTTAGGGGGGCCCCCCTTGGGGGCCCCCTGTTGCAATATAAATGTGGAAAATGATTTTGTGTTTTTTTTGTCTCATTTTCACTCGGACCATTATGGGGGTCTTGGGAGGCACTGGAAGAGGGGCCCTATTTGGTGCTCAAGTGTTACAGGTAAACTAAGGTTTAGGGTTTAGGGTTTAGGGTTT